TGAATTTATTGTATCGTCAAGTGGCATACAATAGCAATCCCCAACCTTGGTGGCTTGGTGGCCTGTTGGGGGAGGGGAACTGGGCTGCGCAAACAACAGGATGGTGTGCACGTGCATGCGCACACAGCTCCACTTCTGCAAATTGAACTGCATGCACATGTGCACACACCCTGGCCTGCTGCTCATACAAGTCGAGCTGAGCATAAATGCATGTGCACCAGCCTGCTGCTTGTGTGGCCCAGTTGCGAATAGGCCACAGCCTGCGAGTTTGCTGTGGCCCAGAGGATGGGGACAAATATACAAAGATCTATAATTTTGTTGGCTTTATTCAATTTTATTCCAATTGAATTCATATCAGCCCACAATATACCAAACAACATTAAAAACAATATAAGTAATAACAAAATTAGAACAGAAGAAAAAGAAAAAGAAACAATACGGAAAACATGATAAGATACCACAAAGGATCATATCTAACATTTAACAAAGGGGATTCTAAATACTAATCCAAACCTTGGGAGAACAACTAAATCTTTATGGCCATCTGGAACACCAACTGGGTTGGTGGAAGCTTATTCTAGAGAGCAGTGCTGCAACAGGGAAGCTGCACTTCCTGAGTCTTGATATTGTTTAAAGAAACCCATAGAGTTCCAAACTTGTCGTTTTGAATTAATTCATTCAGTATGGTGGCAACCTAAATAGTAATGCACTATATGTACAGTAGGAATGGATTGAGTGAAAAATAATCACACAAATTTGGATTTGGTCGCATGGTCATGTTGTAAGTAGCATGCAGTTACCTCACAAGAAAGTAGCCACACTGACGTAATGTCTGTTCAGAAGACTATGGCATGAGGGAAACTGGAGAAAGCAACTATACACTTTTACTGATGACAACAGGAATAGTCCTAGTGAAGTCATAGTCTAAAAACTGAGCTGAGACTGCATTGTGCGTTCCATAGAATTGAATGTTTTTTATGAATGATTTCACTGCTCAGAAAACCAGATGTTGTGAAAATAATGCCAGTCTTTGAATGCTAACTAGACATTCTTGTTAGGAATTCCGGTTAGTCTAGGAATCCAACTTACTTGGATAACACATATTGCAAAATACCAATCAAAGCCAACAAAAGCATTTCCATCACTAGAGATCATGGAGACAGACCTATAGACAGTGAATATATAGGATCTTTGATGGCCAGCAAGGATCCAGGCAGGCAGTCCAAGGTTATATTTACTTTTATGTTGCCAGTCCCAAGGTTGCAAGCAATTACCAATTTATTCATGTTAGAGATGTTTTCATTTTGTTTACCACTAAGTAGAATAGATCATTAAGAGAACCCTGCAGTGCTAGGATTCAATTTTTTTTTACTACTGGTTCTGTGGGCGTGGCTTGGTGGGCATGGCAGGGGAAGGATACTGTAAAATCTCCAGTCAGAGGTGGTATTTGCTGGTTCTCCAAACTACTCAAAATTTCCGCTACCGGTTCTCCAGAACTAGTCAGAACCTGATGAATACCACCACTGGAAACCCCACCCCCCAAAGCATGCCACTATGCAGTAAATTAATAATAAACTGTAGATCACCATAGGACTATATTTTTCAGCCTTCAATTTGTATTATTTATATATTAGTTTAAAGTCAAATTTAAAGAATTTTTAGGGTTGTTAAATCAAAATGCTGTATAAGTGTGAGAAAAGTTATTAAAGCTGTATAATAAAGACAATGTGGAAAAACACAGGTTTGTTTTGGATTAAATTACTCCTTGGATCTTCATATATCTGAAGTTAAAAATTTATCTTTATCTCCCATCACCAGATATAAAATGAAAATTGAGAAAGAACAGAATAAATTTTTCTGATTGATCGAGGTTATTGTTTAAAAAAATTGTTTAATAAGATAAAAATCAATATGGTTATATTATATAACATGATTTTTGTCAGCAATAACATTCATAAAAGCATAGTCAGAAAAAAGATCTGGATTCAGAAACAAACATGTTAAACCTGTTTTGGACTTTGCCCGTTTGGAACCGGCTAAAGCATAAAAGAGAATAGTCAATATTTCCTCAACCTATTTTTCACCCTCTCTCTTTTCAAGTTTAAAGTTGAAGGATGAATCTACATCAAATCACATTGCTTTATTTGTGACCAAGAGTGATGCCTTTTCTGTGCAATAGCCAGCTGAGCATAAGATTAGATTTGGTATATAACTGTACTTGTGGATCTAGATAACTTAGATTGCTTATTTATTTACATTATTGTGATATAACAGATAATCAGAGTTGGAAGGGACCTTGTAGGTCATCTAGTCCAACCCCCCACCCAAGTGGTAGACCCTACACCATTTCTGACAAATGGCAGTCCAATCTTTTCTTGAAAGTCTCAAGTCATGATGCTCCCACAACTTCCGAGGGCAAGCTGTTCCACTGGTTGATTGTTCATATGCACTAGACCTTATGAAGGGTGTTCATATATGGTCCACCTAACTAGTTTTTGAAGTGCATCCTTGTGCTGAGGCAAGACTCCCACCACCACCACCACCCAAAAAAATCCCAAAGGTGTTTTTTCAAGAGGCAACTGGACTTTCTGGTTTTTCTTTGAAGACGTTCTTCTCACCCAAGAAACTTCTTCAGCTGCTTGGATGAGAAGCAGAGCATCTTCAAAGAAAAACCAGAACATCTGGTTGCCTCTTGAAAAAACACCTTTGGGACAACCATGACCTTTGAAATTCTGTTTATTACACTGACAGATGCTTAACATGTACTTAATATTTCAATATTTTTAAATGGATAGCATTGTAACTTCTTCTTAAATTGGTTTTAAATAGTTTAAATGAAAGCTCTAATAGACAAATAAGATGAATTAAAACTTTCTACTTAATCCAAAATATAAAATAAGATGCATTAAAACCTTTTCACCATTTTTTTTTCTAAAATTTTGGAAATTTGAAGGCATTGTTCTCCTGAACTGTATTAAACTTGCTAACAATCACTCTTGCCTTGGTCACCTCCTGTTTGGATTATTGCAATATACTTTACATGAGATTGGTGTTGAAAACCACTGGGAAACTTCAGCTACTCCAGAATGCAGACAGTAGTGGGGACCCCAAGGTTTCTTCATGTAACCCCTTTGTGTACAAGCTGCACTGACTTCCAGTTTCTTTTGGAACACAGTTCAAGGCCCTGGCCATCACCTTTCAAGCTCTATATGGTACAGGGCATATCTCTAATGACATCTACCAATCCTATGAAGTCATATAATGTGGGCATGCTCCTAGTCCTTTTCCCTAAATATTGCCATCTGATGAGAGCTAGGAAGTGGCCCCTGAAGGTTTGGTGACCTGGCTTTTGCCGTAAGTGCTGGGATAAATTTGAATAATTGCACATTAGAAATTTGACTTGGCACCAGGTTTTCATCTGTTTAATTTATAGTTTTCATATAACTCTATATGTTGTTTTAATTTTTGATTGGAAGCTGCCCATAGTTAGTTAGAAGATGATGGCTATGTAAATGTTTTAAATAAATAAACTTAAATCATATTGAGTGGAGAGGACTATACAAACATATGCAACTTGAAGCTCATTGGGGGATAGATTAAATCATAAAATGTGCGTCACAATACAGACCTTTGACTCCTTGCATACAATTATTTTTGTCATTTTTTTGTCATATGTTTCTGAAAGCAGTGGTTTTAGTAAAATTCATAATGAGTCATCAGATCAAAATCTTCATCTAGCCCAATAACTTGTTCCAATAATGAAAAGGTTGATTCTCAAGAAAAATTCATAAGCTTAGTTATTTGGGAAAATTATGGTTATAAAGTTAGGTAGGAAATTGAGTAAATAAGTTTTATAATTCATTACAGATACCCTACTACCCCATTTTTCTTTTAGTAACTCATATAAATTTTATGTCACTGAATCCAGAAATTCTTGGTATTCATGGCTATTAGCCAATTATTCTTTTCATTTCATGTAAAGTTGTATAACCCTAATGGTTCCACATTTCAAAAAGCTCCTTTTCAATTCTTGTCTGGAATGCAAATATTCTCCTGTTATTAGTTTTCCCAATCATCTCCAAAGGGGCGGTTGGAAACTTAATTGATTGACAATGACTGGGTTAGGACTTGATCTAGGTGACCCACAATGCAGTCAATAATTAGATTAGGTCAAAACCTATGACAATTTAGATTGATTTTGAGTTTCAGGTTGAAATGTTAGAATTTTCTAAGAAGAATACATTAATATTTCACCATAGAACAACTTTCCACATTTCATTTTTATTCTTGTAAAGATGCAAATTTCATGTGCACTCTGTTTTGAACAATCAAATGAACATTAAATTCAATGAAACGTATGCCCAAATAAGTGTGAATAGATCCAAAGGATAGAAAAAACCCTATACCAGAGGTGGCAAACTCAATTTAATTGAGGGCCACATCAAGGCTATGGTTGACTTTGGGGGGGCGGGTGGACATGGTCAACTGGATGGGCATGGCCAGCTTGACACCATTCATTGGGCATGGCTGACTGGGTAGGCATGACCAACTGGGTGGGCATAGACAGCTTGACGCCAGTCCCCAAACTGCTGGCATGTTTCCTCTTTGCATTGGATAGACCAGGCTGAAGACACATTGTCCTGATATTTCCTCTTCACAATGGGTAGACCAGGCCGAAGCAATATAGGGAGACCGGGCTGAAACCATGTTGGTCTGATGTTTCCTCTTCGCATTGGGTAGACCAAGCTGAAGGTACACTACCACAATGTTTCCTCTTTGCAATGGATAGACCAGGTGACGTGGGTAGACCGGGATCACCCTGTGGGCCAGATGCAACCACATCACAAGCCAGATCTGGCCTGCAGGCCTTGAGTTTAACACTCCTGCCCTATGCCATAATTTAATGTCTCAGATTTGGCTTGTGTCTACTTTACTTGTTTTAACATAGAATTTGCATTTGTGTATTTTAAGCCTGCATCAGTGTTCTCTATGTGTTACAGGGCAAGCACAAACTTCTTGTGAACACAGGACTTGAAGGGAAGTGGTGTGGTCTAATTCCAGTTGGGAATCCTTGTGAATGTGTAACAACAACAGGTCTAAAATGGAACCTCAGTAAGTAAGATACCTTTTTCCTACTCTACAAAATATAATTTTATTAAAAATATAGTTAATAGAGGGATAGAATCAATATCATGTGAAGTTCTAGTGCCATTTTACAAAGCCTTGGTAAGACCATATTAGAATAGTGCATCCAGTTCTGGTCACCACAATATTAAAAAAAAATGTTGAGACTCTGGAAAGAATGCAGAGAAGAGTAACCAAGATGATTAGGGACTGGAAGTTAAAACATACAAAGAACAGTTATTGTTCATTAATAGTCTAATGAAAAAGAAATTTTCCAAAGCACCAGAAAACCAGATGAGAAGTAATCGATGGAAACCAGTGTGGCTCCTACAAAATCGAGGGGCTATTTTCCAAAGCACCAAAGAGCAAGATGAGAAGCAATGGATAGAAACTAACCAAGGAGAGAAGCAACCTAAAATTAAGGAGAAAATTCCTAACAGTTAGAGCAATGACAGAAGTTGTGAGTGCTCCATCACTGGAAGCTTTCAAAAAGATACTGAACAACCACTTGTCTGAAATGGTATAGGGTCTCCGGCTTGAACAGGAGGTTGGACTAGAAGATCTCCAAGGTCCCTTCCAAATCTATTATTTTTATGTTCTATGTTCTATAATACTTTATTTCAGATAGATGTGTAAGGAATTATATGATAATTTAGTGTGTTTAGTTAACTGTATATTACAGATAGCATCCCATTCATATTTATTAATATTATAGTATTCATTTTGGGGGAATTGCACTTTGCCTGGAAACAGATAATTAGAGAAACCTTAAATATTTGAGGAGACGGGTAAGAAAGACTATGATAACTATAGTTCTGTTTGACTGGGAGGAAGGCAATATTTGCTCCTAGCCAGTATCATCTTTTTTCCTTTGTCAAAAAACTTTCAATGACAAGGTTACAGGTACTCTCAGTCCACAGCAAAGCTCACCACTCTTGTCACCCAGAAGGGCCTAGAAAGAAGGATAGTCATCTGTATAAATATATCTGAATACATATATTTACATTTATAGATGGAAAACAGACAAGTAGAAGTAAGTCTTATAGCTAAGGGAAAAGAGGATTAGCTGATTTTAAATATTTAGTATACTTCATAGGAAGGTGTTCGTTTTCTTGTAAAACATTTGTTGAGATCCTCTTTAATCATAACAGTATTGAATAGGATGGAAAATGAACTATTTGCCCCTTTCACTTCATTGTATTTCAGATGTTGGAAATGTTGCAGGATTCCTATGTTCCTAGAACTTAACTCTCGCCTTCCAAATGGGTTTCACTTGCATAGAGATTGGTAGCTAGTTTGGTTTAATGATTGAAGCACCAGACTAGAAACTAAGAAACACTGAGTTCTAGTATCATCTTAGGCATGAAAACCAACTGGGTGACTTTGGACTAGTCATTCTCTCTCAGTCCACCTCACAGGTAGTTGTTATAGGGCAAACAGAAGGAGAGAAGAGTATATTAATTGTGTTATTTATAAAAAACAATAGAGGATTTAAAATGAATTATAGATATATAAACAAGGGTAATTAAATAGACTGCTAGATCTGAGATTCAGAGATTCAGATGATCACTAGATGGCAAGAAAGAGCAAGATGTTTCTATATTGTTTATGGAGATTCTCAGTCATCCAAGTTATGGTTGTCCCAAAGATACTTTTTTCAAAAGACAACTGGACTTTCTTTGTTTTTGCTTGAAGACGTTTTGCTTCTCATCTAAGAAGCTTCTTCAGTTCTTCAACTTAAAAAGTTTGTCATCCAAGAAGCTTTTTGGATGAGAAGCAAAATGTCTTCAAGTAAATCAAAGAAAGTCCAGTTGCCTTTTGAAAAAAAGCATCTTTTGGACATGTTTTTCTATTCTTTCAGTGCCAACTTGTAGACATGCAATATTTTGCAACTCAAGTTTGATACAACTATAATTAGCAGCTGCTTGGAAAACTTTATTATTATTAATAATAATATTTTTTTTAATTTTTTATTACAATAATTCCATCTTCAATTGAACAGTGTGTCATCTGGGTACAAATATCTTTGTAAAATAGTAATAAAAATTTACAGCATTATTAATTACATTAGTATTAATTCGACAATATTAAAATAGTAATATTCAACATACTAATCATAGTATTTACTTCTCTCTCTTAACATATCTTCTTTATTTCACTGTTCTTCTAATCTTGTTTTCCTGTTTCTCACTTCCATTTTTGTTATTTAACCATTGATAAAATAAATCCCATGTCATAGAATATTCAGTTTGCTCTTTCTCCTTAATTGCAAGAGTTAATCTATTAATTTCTGCACACTCCATTATTTCCTGATCATTTTCCTGATCACATTCTCATCTGGATATCTCTTCACTTTTCCAGTTTTGTGCAAATACAATTCTAGCTGCAGTTAATATATGGATAATTAAATATGCATTTCTCTTACTATATTTTTCAGATAAAATCCCCAACAGAAATATTTCTGGCTTTAAATCAATATGCTGCTTTATCATTTTTCCAGCCACATATGTATTTTTGTCCAGTATTTTTTTGCTTTTGAGCAAGTCCACTACATAAGATAATATGATCCTGGTATCTGGTGGCACTTCCAGCATTTATCTGACTTTAAATATATTTGCCAACCTCGCTGGCATGAAATTCCATCTATAAAACATTTATACAAATGTTCTTTTTATGTCATTGACATTGTTAATTTATAATTCCTGTCCCACAGTTTTTGGCATTTATCTAACTCAATTGTATAACCATTTTTCCCCATACTATCATTGTCTCCTTCACTTGTTTATCTTCCAATTTAATGCCTAATAGGTAGCTGTGTTTTCTTTATCAATTTTTCTTCTGCCCCTGTTAATATCTTGTCTAATTCTGTTAATTCTTTATAAAAACCATGTAGTTTAACATCTTTCTCATATCGAGAATGTTATCTGCATTTGTGAGTACTGTGTCATATCAATCCTTTGATCGCTCAATTCTTGCTCAGTTTTGAGTTCCCCTTTTCATTCAAAATATCTTTGTATCTAACAATATTTTCCATGTTGAGAACATTTGGGTGAACCAGTGCTTCCATTGTTGAAAGCCAAACTAGTATCCTCAAGTAATGTTCTCTGACTTTCTCTCACACTAACAATAATGCATTCCTAATATAATGTATTTGAAAGTAACCATCAGCCAGACTTACATCAGCCAGACTTACCTTAGCTTCACAGCATCGTGCAGCTACTCACAGCTGGTCAATTTCTAAATCTTAATTACCTTAACATAATCCGCATTCAATACAGATATTTTATTTTTCCCATACCACAAAAAGGCATGCCAGCCCAATTGCAAGTCATGTCTCTCCAAGGTCAATATAGCTTTTGTTCCTTAATACTATCCATTCTTTATGCAAGTGAGTACCACAGCCTGATAATACAATTCTCAATTCGATAGCCCAAAGCTTCCTCTATTTCTTGAATCCTGCAGCATTTTTAGGTTTATTCTTGCTTTTTCCTCTTGCCAAATATATCTTGATGTTATTTTATTGAGTTCCTCAAAATAATTTTTCCAATTTTATCAGAATTGTTTGAAATAGATATAGTAGTCTCTGCAATATATTCATTTTTATTGTAGCTATCCTTCCTATCAATGATAATTGCAGCTTTTTCCATTTCTCCAAAACTGCTTTAATTTGTTGCATCAATTTATAATAATTACCTTCAATAGTTACACATCTTGCTGTCAAATAAATCCCTAAGTATTTTACTTTTTTAGTAATCTGAATATCTATTCTTTCATTAATTCTTGTTTCTGCATCTCTGTGAGATTTTTAACTAATACCTTAGTTTTCTCTTTATTTATTTTCAATCCTACCACTTCGCCATATTCCTCTTTTTTTTTTTTTTTTAGTTTAGGCCTTGTTTCTTGTGGGTCTTCCAAAATAAAAACTAAATCGTCTGCAAATGCCTGTAGTTTATATTTTTCCTTTTTTATTTCCATATCTTTTATCTCTATATTTTGTCTTAAAATTTCTATTTAATACTTCCAGTGTCAATATGAATAATAGGGGAGACAAGGGGCATCCTTGTCTTGTAGCTGTTCTAATGTTAACCCTCTCTGTCATATCTCCATTTACCATCACCTTTGCTGTTTGCTTATAATATATCACCTTAATCACATTAATAACTATCTCCCCAAAATCCATATCTTATAGTTGTGCTAGCATGAATTGCCAGTTCACATTGTCAAATGCTTTCAGTGCGTCTAGAAAAATCAATGCCATTTGCTTCCCTGTGTGTGCTTCATAATTCTCCAGTGTATTTAAAATTATTCTCATATTGTCTTTGATTTGTCTCTTAGGTAAAAATCCATTTGGATCTGGATATATAAATTGGTTTAAAATCCTTTTTAGTCTTCTGCAATTTTTGAGGCATATATTTTACAGTCTGTCAGAGTGTTTGGCAGCATGACTACCTTTATGTGATAACCCAGGAGCAACACACAGCACACAGAGACTTAGACATTAACAGTGGTTTAATATACAGCAGATATATACAGACAATATACACATGGTAGCAAAATACCTTTACAAGCAAGCTTTTCTTCTTCCTAACACACGGAGAACTTCTGAACTGAATACTGGCCACAAGGAAAGAGAACCATGCTCTCTAATGGCTGCCATTTATATACACACCTCTTAAGGAGAACTTTACTCTCCAGCCTTATAGGGAAATACCCATACCCTGCTGAATCACTCTTGTTACATCAGCCAGACTTACATTAGCTTCACAGCATCGTGCAGCTACTCACAGCTGGTCAATTTCTAAATCTTAATTACCTTAACATAATCCGCATTCAATACAGATATCGGTCTGTAATTTTTTTATCTGTTGTAAATCTGGAAAACTTCTGATGTAGGGAACACATTCTGACTAAGCGCCACCAGTTTACTACATTAAGTTTAATAAAGGGCAGAGGATTAAAAATTCCACCAAAGTCATATAGATTCATAT